TTTTTCTAATAAATTAATTCGTTTATTTGATCAAAACAGCTACAGAGCTCAGAAAAAATTGCAACAACAAGTGTAATTATTGTAATTAGAGAAGGGCAATACGAAATATAATACCTACTAAAACGAGATCATCGTAAAGGTTAGTAACTGATAATGATAATGGAGACAAAATAATATTTGCAGATGGATTTTAAACAAATATGAGTAGGTGGACTAAATTTGCGCATTAAGGTCTGTAAATAAGTAAATTATCTCCTAAATGGCTGCTACTATTAAAAAACACCAAGAAACAATTTTCGTTAATTTAACGTAACAGAAAATATATATATTTTTGGAAACTTAAACACCCTGTATCTAGAATACCACGCCCCCAGGAAAAAATTTTATAGAGCAAACTCTGTTTATTTTTTGACAACTAATTTATTCCTGCAGTTTCTGTATTTAAGTGAAATTACCTCGTATAGTAGTTTTCTATATGAATTCGCTTTTATATCTAGTAGATCTGATATATCTGCGTTTACAAACAAAGAAGAGACAAACTATGACGTATAAAATGTAAAAATAAAAGCTTGGTAGTTGATTACAAACAATCTGCTTTGTCGTCCTGAGCATTTTTAGCTTTCGTTGTAACACTATGTTGAAGTTGGCTTTGAGTTTATAGTTTTTTTCCATTTATCGGCATGCCCTTTTCACTTTCATTTTATTCATTTTCTTTCTGTAAATGTTCCAACTTCATCTCTCTCTTCTTTCTTCCCATCTTTCTCCTTTGAAAATTTGTTCCATTGGCCTTTTCTACGTCAATCTAATTAATTGCCAACGCAATTATGCTTGTTCTATATAATTTAGAATTCATAGTTCAGTTCTTATAACATATTGCTTCGTTTTTAACTTTACTTTGTCCTGATTTTTCTTTTATTTTTCCTAGGAATCACGTTTCAACGCTCGTTACTGTACTTTTTTGTCTTTTGTTTGTTGTCCGCGAAACTTTGGTTTCATTATACTTTTTACTATTTCGGCTTTTATTTTTGTATAGGAATTTCTCCTTTTGCCAAATTTGATATAGGTACTTATGCTGTGAAATAGTCCTACATGTTTTTTTCTTTAATTCATTAATTTCCTCATTTGAATTTCCCGAGAAATTTGCTTTACTTCACCCAGCAAAAAAATTCAAGATGATAAGAGGGACGATATATTTACAAAAATATATTACATTTTTAACACAGATTGGTGAAACTTGAGCTAGTATAAATCACAATTCAAATAAGGGCGAAAAGAATACCCTACTACACTTTATTTGAAAAAACAAAAATTTTTGCCGCGATATTTTTATTTATTTTAGATCGATGTGTTTAAAATTGCATTTCGAAAATAAAAATCATATAAGTACGTACGTTATTTTTTTTAAGCGAGTAGTTTTAGAAATTAAATTAATTTAACTATAAGTAAGATTGCAAGCATTAAAAAAATAAAAATAATAAATAAGAAAATGCATTGTTTTTCGAATAAAGTGAAAGATATCTTTTTTCCCAGAAATAACATGCACAGTGACATCACAATTCTGAAAAGGTAATACCACCCAGTGTCTTATCATTGATTGACTGTGTACCAATTTCATGAATTTCTGTATTTTGTTAATTACATTCCAAGTTTCATTAATCTATATTGAACATCTTCAGATATACGGCGTGAACGAAAATTATGTTCTCTGAACGTTTAAACTGATTTTTAGTTCCTATATTTTCTGAAGACGACAGATTTACATAAAACATTACTTTGAAGACTATGCAAGCTTTTTTTCATTATTGAAAATAAATTTTTTCGACCCCCAAACATAACACCAAAGATAATATTCCCATATCCGATTTATTACAAGTGAATGCCAGCCATGGCATAAAGAAGTGTGGTTAGGATCCACAGGCCCTTTGTCCCTCCTCTTTACGCATTCATATATTCATAAAGATCTTCCAAGCACAATAGCAGCACAATTAAATATCAGCCCGACAACATTTGAAATGTTATTATAACGGATGTGTATTAAAATAATTGCTGCTATTTAGGGGGGGCGCAACCCTTTCCGAGGACACCCCATTGGCCAAATCACAACAGAGCCCCTTAATCATAACATATGGGTGGGGCTTAGTCAACAGGCATAGTAGTACTCAAGGGACGGGACACGTTATGTTAACAAGATAAAAAAGCAAATCGTAATTTGTCCGCTGACGATATCGGGTTTAACAAATGAAGATCTATGGGGTATTGTGCAAGAGCGACCGTCACTAATTGGCCTTTATTGAAATAGTTTTAACTGTAGCTTTGAATGCTGGATCAGAATGTGCCAGGTGATCTTCGCATGTTACGATTTGCAATGATTTGATTTCAAGATTATTTAAATACCCATTTCAGTTCTTTATTATTTGACATGTCAGGGGTTATTATTTTATACCGGGTGATTCACAAATGATGACCAAAAATGAAACCTCGTATTCTTTGGTGAATTTTAAGGGGAGTCTTTCCTGTAAAGTTTTTATCTAGGATGCTTCGTTAAAAAGATACATAAATAATTTAAAATAATTTGAAATTGGACACATGTATTTATGAACACATGTATTTATGTAAACATTGTCCAAAATCTTCTTAACGAAGATAAAAACTCTACAGGAGAGACTCCCCCTAAAATTCACCAAAGAATACGAGAGTTCATTTTTGGTCATCATTTATGAACCACCCTGTATATTAATTGTTTAAAACGTAGGTATATATCTGTCTATTCTGTCAAAAATTACTAAAAATTCAATTTGACGTGCAATTTCGAAATTATCCAGCAGACGTAATTCTCTTTTATTCTACTATAGAATACTATAGACTTGAAAATTATATATCATACATAAACTTCAGATACCATATACGAGATGTTGAAAAAGTTTTGTTTTTTTAATCCGTTTTTTAAAACATCCCATATTTTTTCTCCAATGTTCCTGCTTGCTCAAAAAACAATTTATTTACAGAATAGCCTTCTTTAAATTGAATGCAAGAAGTGATAATTATTTCTTCTGTTTCCACTACTATTACTACTACCATTTTTAATTTAAAAATAAATGAAAAAGTTTTCTGAACACCTCGTATAAGAGTATATCATTTCTGAAATTTATGCACAACGTACCATTTTGAATCCTCTTTCAGTGGCAGTAAAATGAAATGATATCTGGTGGAAAATTTGGAAGTTACATAACTTTTAACTTACTTCAATTTTTTCTCATTTTGAACAGTAACTGAATTATAAAATCCTATTATAGTCCAGGCGTAGAGCAGTAAAAGTAGGCTTTAGAGTTTGTGTTTGAAGTCATCTATTTTGTTGTACACAAAAAACCCAAATATGTAGAATAAGAATCCGAGATTGCCTATTCCATAAAGTCATTGCTAAATTCAGGGGAACAACAAACATACAAATAGAACGAAAAATGACCCGTATTTCGACATATTTTTCCCTGTAACATTGAAAGTAAGCCCTAAATCAAAATAGTGATTCATTATTTTTTGTTTATTTGACGATTTTCTATGAAGTTATAACAACTGCGAATCAAAAAAGTTAAATTTTGCATTAACAATGGACGAAAAGTAGTAGAATATCGTATGTATATTTGGAGCAATTTTTAAAATAAGTAAATATTTATAAATATCGATGAAACTTTGTGAACATATGTCAATTCTATCCTAAAAATTTTGCATCGATAGTTAGCGTAGTTTTCGATTGACAGGATTTCTAATTAAAGAAATTTCCTAAAGTTTATCGCATACCGTGGGTTAAAATTAAGGTTTAAAAAGGGCACACAATTTTTTAGAGATACTAGTTGTCATAATAAACAATGATCAATACTAAAAATACCTATTTTTACACTTTTATATCCATTTAGAATTCTTTTAAGATTTTTCAACATTTTATTCTAAACAATTATTTATTGCCCGTCGTAACCCCTTGCTTTTTAGCCAAATATGACAGCATTCTACTGTATAGACTTTTTTTGATATGGGGCTTATTTTCAATTTTACAGGGAAAAATATGTCGAAAAAGGCGTCATTTTTCGTTCTTTTTGTATGTTTGTTGGTCTCCTGAATTTAACAATAGTTTCTTGGAATAGGCAAACTCTGATTCTTATTCTACATAATATTTGGGATTTTTGTGTACAACAAAATAGATGATTTCAAATACAAACGCCTGGAATGCTCTACCGCCTGGACTATTAAGTATAACGCAATCCTAGCGTCTTAAGAAAGGTTTGAGTACTCATTTTCGTTAAAAAAAAAATGAGAAGAAAATGGAAAAGGGTGACATTTTTAAGGATACGCAGAAAATTTAATAAAGAATTACTTTTCCTGCAAATTTCGTGTGAACTAAAGATTATAAAATTAATTTCTGTTTTATATAATTGTTACATCTCAATATTATTCTAAATTCAAAAAATATTTTATGACACACGTCACCTGTTATCTTATTTAATATATTTTTATATTTCAAATGAAAAGTTATTTTCAGAGAATATTTTTATTTAATTAGATATCACCAAACTTTTAAATAATTAAAAAATATTAGTCGAATGCACAGGGAGGGTTTTGGATTATGATATAAACGTTTTAAGTATGACTAAAAATTCAGTAGCAGATAGCTGCGTTGTTTTACCCAGCGCTACATACTATAAAAAGTTACTGAAAAAGTTCATTACCATTTTTATTGACCACAAATAAACATTGTTTGTTGTTTTCATGCCACAGTATTATTTCTGTTTATAGAAACGTACCAACTACATAAATGCTATTTAAAGAATGGAATAAAAAACATTACATTAAAATAAATAAAACTGAAATCAGGTTATTTAAAATAGATTTATTTTTAGGTATAAAACTTTGGTATCACTTTAAAATATATACAAAATATATTATTATTCTTATTTACAAAAAAGTTTTTATCAAAAATATACCGCGACTCTACGTATAAAACACAATAATTAGAGGTGCATTTCATTATCGTCAATATTCGTAACGTCGATGTCAACCTCCTCACAGCTCGACGTGGAACTTTTTAGTTTCCTAGCACCGGAACACGTCCTCAGACAGCAGCATTTCCCTGGAGAAGCTGCGGGATTACCAGTTGCGGCAGGCAAGTCTTCTTTCTTATACTTCACACGTCTGTTCTGGAACCAAATCTTCACTTGTTTTTCGCTTAAACGCAAGGCCGTCGCGATTTCTATCCTTCTCAGTCTGGAAAGGTACATGTTGGAAGAAAATTCCCTTTCTAATTCCAACAGCTGGGTGCTGGTAAAGGCAGTCCTGATTCGTTTGCTGGAATCTTTACTCGATGGCGTGAATCGGTCTTCGGCACGTCCATTTTGGTTCAGGGGAGGTGTGGGGGTGGATTCTCGACTCTCAGTGTGGCTAGGCGAGGCTCTGTGAGCTGGAGACACAAGCGGGCTGTGATAGCTCGAGTCGGAATGTGGCACTGGTGATTTCTTTGGCGAAGGCAAGTCTTGGTATATCTTAGGCGATGCCTGATCTTTTAATATTGGCCGAATGGGAGTCACTAGTCTTGGCAAGGAAGGCACTGGTCTTAAAGGAGTCTTGTGTTGTCCCATAACTAGCTGCTGTTGCAACAGTTGCTGCTGTTGCTGCTGCTGCGCTAAGCTGAGCGAGAACAAGTAACTGCTGATGTAGTTCTGGGGATAAGGCAACATCGGGCGTTCACAACTCTGCGGCAGGTACCTCGAATGCAAGTCTTTAGGCTGATTGTTTATCAGAGAGTCAACAAGGAATGACCTGGACATGTTCATGATCTTCACGCACCGAACTACGAGACACTACGGGGTGAGACTACCCTACTGATTCGCGATAGTGAATCCCGCGTATATATATGCCCCCTCTTTACAATTTCGCACCCTGTAGGGATGTTATGCATTGTTAGGGGGCCCCGCCTAGACCGTCCCTCTTCTGCCCTTACGGATGGTAAGCCAGAAGGTAAACAAATTATATACTTGCTAAGCCTTGTACTGCGCAAATATTGGCTGCTTGGACAAACAAATCGCGTATTGCTTAAATCGCTTTGAATAAGGTTATGGATAGGGGTCTGTTTGGTTGCATGAGACCGGCGGAAGAAAATATGATACTGTAATAAGGAGCGAATTTGTTTGCTTTGCCCGCGAGGCCTATAATTCATTGTGATATGAGTTTTTTTGGGCATGAACAATTTGAATTAATAATGGGTAGGTAGCATGTTTACAATAAAAGCTTCCGTTATTAATATAGGAATTATTGTTCGTTGCAGCAGTTAGATTTGCTTAATAGAATATGCATTTCTTTTATGCGTACGAGATGGGTCGAATTTTTTAAATCAAACTTTAGGAACAAGCAGATTATAAACAAAAATAATGATAGTTTACTACCGGATGTCTCGTAAAAAATGCTGCAAACTCTTGCTCCACCATTTTTCTTCAAATTAAGAAATACTACAAAAAGGATTGCGTTTAATTGATCCAAAAATACGTACTAAAAACTGGCACACACAGGGTGTTATTTAAGTACGTGGCCAAACTTCAAGGCTGTATTTAAGATACAGGGGTGTCAAAAAATCGTTTTTTCGTAAACATCTTAATAATCCTTTAGCCGATTTTGTTGAAATTTGGCATTGTTAATTATGGTAGAAAGAGGCTAATTTAGCCCTAACTACATTAAAATTATTAGGTCCAATGGCGTCCCGGGGAACACCTTAACTAATATTTTTGACATAAAAAATGGGCGCCACTGACTTTTTAAAACTTTTATAATCTCTTTCGCATTAAGCAACTAAAAATACAACTTTTTTGTATCTTGATTTTTTTTCGTATGTTGCTTTCTTTGGAGAAAAAAAATAACTTTATGTCTAACAAAAAAAAAACAATTTTTAATAATTAATAAAACAAAATTTTCTTTAGCTAGCATTAATTTTATTAACAATTCCTAAGACTAGAATAGCCTATTGATACGAAAAAAAAATAACAGGTACACCCCAGTTTTTGATAGTTTGATAGTTTAAATTTTTTATTATGTTATGGATAGATAGGCAATAAAGTTATTTTTATTTTTTCTACAAAGAGGAAGCGAGATGCGAAAAAAATTGAAGAGACAAAAAAGTTGTATTTTTAGTTGCTTAATGCGAAAAAAATTATAAAAGTTTTAAAAACTCAGTAGCACACATTTTTTTGTCAAAAATATTGGTCAGTGCCCACCAGGACGCCACTAGACTTAATAATTTTAATCTAATTTGGGGCAAATTAGACCCTTTCCACTATAAATAACACTGCCAAATTTCAACAAAATCGGTTAAAGGATTATTAAGATTTTTACGAAAGAACGATTTTTTTTAAAAAATTTGACACCGGATCTATGTTTATATAAATTTTTCGACTTAGAATCACTCAAAGAATCACCCCTCGAAGTTTGGCCACGTACTTAAATAACACCCTGTATATATTTTTCTTTATTTAATGCGTTAGATATCTTTTGATATTTTGATACACTGGATAATATATTTTTTTTTGTTAATTTCTTAGCATTAAATTTAATCTAGTTTGAAGACAGAAACATATATGTTTCTACTTAAATGACAATTATCTCAATGTAAATTCGTTCCTGGCATATTTACTATTATGTTGGACCATTCAAATTAATATTAACAAGTATTTTACTTATTTTTCTGGTAAATTTTTGATAAAATTTGCAACAAAAGCCAAATTGTCATATGTCGTTGAATTCAGAAAAAAATGATATACCAATATAAAAAAAACATCGTTAGTTCCATGGAAAAAATTGAGTCATCTGTGACTAAGGGTGAAAGGATAGTAAATTTCAGTCTGTAGTATTTTCGGGTCATTAATGCTAAATGTTTTAAATTGGACCAATAATGGCGAAGTTATGCGATATTTTTTACAAATCACCTGGTACACGGAATAGTCGACAAAACGTGTTGGTGCTGAAAAATTATCTTTTGGGATTCGACCCTTCCTGTTTGTGAAACAAAATCTGCCATGATCTCAAATCCGTAAAATCCAGTAAGCCTCGGAAATTTAGAAAAATCTTATTTTATTCTGCAGTAGTGTTCCTTCTGCATAAGATACGACCTATTTTTTATTTATATCCTAACATATCAAGAAATAAACCTGTTATAATTATTTTTACGCTGGCGCTGTTAAATTTCTTATTTTAATAAGTTTTAAACATTTGAAAATAGGAAAAATTGTGATGGAAAGCAGCATTAGTGTATTAAAATTTTGCATACTCATTCTGAAAACCTTTTCTTGATAACATTTTGTGGTATCTCATACAGAAAAAAAAATTGAAAACAGATCAAAGTAAGTCCAAGGCAATGATATTTATCACATTAATTCAGTTTTTCATTCTGGAAACTTCTTGATAACATTCTTTAGCTGCATCTCATATAGGAATGACATTTTAGTAGTGAATAATATCAAATTTTTCTAAACCAGAGCTTACTAGATCTTACCGGTTTAAAACAGTAAAAGGTAATTGTTTTAGAAAAAATCTGAATGAAATTCTGAAAGACCAACATCTTTTGTTTTTGTATAGGTATGTAATAAACTTGAATAATTAATTTTTTGAAATATAGGTTAAATGTTCTTAAAAAAATTATTTGTTTTTCGAATATTTGTATTTTAAATTTTTCATTTTTATTTAAAAAAATCCACAAAAAAATATAAAGAAATTTTGAAGATGTAAACCAAACTTTTGCTTTCTTTATTGGAATATATACAGGGAGATTCACAACTGGTGACCAAAAATGAAACCTCGTATTCTTTTGGTGAACTTTAAAGTCTTTCCTATAAAGTTTTTATCTAGGAAGCTTCGTTAAAAAGATGAATGCTGTTAAACTTCAAAAAACTGTAAGTAAGTGAAATAATTTGAAATTGGGCACATATATTTTTGTAAACATTGTATAAAATCTGACGGTTTTTTCTAAAATTTACATGCTCCAGTGGTGGAGATACAGGGTGTCGGTGACATATTTTACTAAATAAAATAGTACGCCACTGCTTTACGGTAACAACCATGATATTTTCGGAATCGTCTGTCAATTTTCTACAAATTACTAATCTCTTGTATTTTTCGAAAAAAAACTGATTTTCGAATAAAACTTAAAAAACGAACTGAAAACACAATTTGATATTCGAATAAAATGCGATTTAAAATTACATAGTAGGCTGCGATAGTAATTTTGATATTCTGATCAGTTAGAAATAAGAATAAATAATGCTTTTCTTCAGATTCAAGCAATAATAAATTTCGATGAAAATAACATTTTCGTTACTAAAAAGATGTTACGCCTGTCTTCATGCAAATGGAGGAATTTTTGAGCATTTACTCAAATAAAATCATTAAAATGATGACTAATGTTATTAATTTCTTTATTCGATTAAATAACCGATTGATTAGTGTTTGTAATGTCATTTAAGTAATAATTTAATTAATTTGTGAAAAATTGAAAGACGAATCCGCAAAGCAGTGGCGTACTATTTTATTTAGAAAAATAAACCACCGATACCCTGTATCTCCGCCACTGGAGCATATAAATCTTAGGAAAAGCTCTCAGATTTTGAACAATGTTTACATAAATACATGTCCCCCATTTTAAATTTTTCACATACTAGTTTTTAAATTATTTAAAAAAATTAAAAATATTTTTTGAAGTTTAACACACTTTATCTTTTTAACGAAGCGTTCTAGAAAAAAACTTTATAGGAAAGACTCCCCTTAAAATTCACCAAAGAATACGAGATTTTATTTTTGGTTTATTGATTTGTGAATCAATCTGTCAATATTTGTCTATTTTTGAATTCCTCTCTTTTCTTTCTGAATACAATGAGATATACATGTTATATATTCACTTTGATATTTTGCACAATATTTTGATTATATATTGCTCCTGCATATAACCACGATTGTCATGGAACCATGGCGTGGATATGTTTTCCATTGTTTTTGCTGTTAAGAAAAGGAGTTTCATTCTGTTTTTGACAAAAGACATAATGTTCTAAGCAAGTTTTTTTGTATTGCTCTTTTATCCACCTTTTTAATACTCAGTACTAACTTCGTTCAATATTTACTGATGTAGGTCATATAAATTAAATTTTTCCCTGTTTACTTTATCTTTAAGAATTCCCCATAGATCAAATTAGGATTTCTCGCGGATCATCAATAGCATCAGTGTTTGACTAATTGTAATAGTATTAATTGTAATTAGTTTATTTATTTTCATGTGGTGTTCCCAAATATTAAATGTTAGAATTTAACAAGAATAATCAATAAAAGACGATAAGAAATTTTCTGTACAATTCACGAAGTTGAAATTGAAAAGAACGCATTGCAGAGTACACTTGTGAAAAATATGTAATATATGAGATCCTTTTGCTGAATTGTAGGTGTACACCCACATCCCAGCTCTCCAACTCTGATAGCTATTAAACTCATTTTAACAATAAAAGTGGATTCCTTTCTTCCAAGTTTCTCACAGCCAGCTAATAGTACAAGGCTCCCCCACAATAGACAGCAATAAAACTATTATGGGGGAATCTTATCCGGTTTTGCCGAATTCTATGCCGTACTTGACTTTCATTGACGAAAATTTTACAAATTCTTATCGAAAAAGGACTCCTTATGAATGGGTTTTACAAACTGCGTGTACCTGCTACCTCCACGAATAATACTACACGGAATGGAGTACATTCACTAATATATTTTAAATGCTGTTATGTCCCTTTGTCCACCTGCGTCGGCGGGTCGGACAAGGCTCGTCCCGAATTTAGGAAAGTCGTGAATGAAGCGCTTTGCATAATACGGACTTTTGTGCACAAGTGTCTGGAATATCCTGGCTGTCTAAATTGGTTACGGACACTTGTTACTTTATGTTCTTTGTGAAACTTGGTTAGAAGTACTTGAATTTTGGGTACAATCGATGTGTATGCTCCAAATTGGAAGGAACTGTGACAATTTTTATACGGAATAAACAGTTTTTCGTTTTTAAGGAATTGGAAGTAATCAAGAACAGAACTGGCAACTATTTTCGAATGCATAGCACAAACAGTTGATGCCAAATGTGACATTTTTTTGAGGATAAAATTAAATAGTAATAAAAAATGAATTAAGTTATATTTAAAAACACTACATAATATGTTTGCAAAAATGTATCTTAAGTTTCAGCCTTTTTAATTTGACGAGCATCAGTGTGGTTTTTATAGTGCTCTTATTACTGTGGTTTATTGCTTACATTGTGTCCTTGACACATATTTTAATATAAAACGATTCAGTTTTTAATAGTCTGTTACAAAATAAAATGCATTACATTAAAATTTGATTTTGAAGATTCTAAAAACCTCATTATCGTTTATCTGTCACTATCCTGTAGGGGCTGCCAAGTACCTAGGTTTCTCAGCTACATCTTAGACAAGTATTAAAATTGCTGCAAATCGTTTTGTTAATAAAATGTACCTTCAGGAATAGGAAACGGCTAAAAGCTCTGCTAATAATATCTCTTTACTCGCACATAATGTATTCCATAAAAGATGGTATTTGCAAGCTTTTGTTATACCTATGTTAGATATTACAGAAAATAAGTATAGTAATGTTAACTCTACAAATGTAAATGTTACTGTGAAAAGCCTTACCTACTGAAAATGTTATCTTGAAAGCTTTACAAAGTGCTAATTAAAGATCATATTAACTGTAAACTATAATATATTGTGTTGGTAACAATGTCATTTTAAATTCAAAATGAAACTTATAGGAAACCTTTTCCGTGATTGAGAAGTAGATAACCAACAACATTGATTAATCGTAGACGTTTTCTTTAGTAAATTGGTTGAAAGTAGCAAAATTAACCATTGAAATAATAGTAATGATGTTAATAAAAATAAGACTAATAGCAACAAAAAGTGAAATAAAATCATTAAAATAAATAAATTGATACATTAAATAGAAAAAAATAAAAATATATATTATTATATTCACGTTTGATGATGAATTGAATATATGTTAATTATTATCGTGGAAATCTTCTTGAACCTTTTGTCTAATATTAAAATATATTTATTTTCTTGGGAATTGGGTTCTGGTGTGATAGTCGGTTAAAAAAGAGGTAAAAGAAACAGCAGCTATTTCTTTCTTGGCGTTTCGTTCCTGATCAGGAACTTTTTCAAAAGGCTTTTATTGTTAATTAAATAAAATTAAAAAATTAAATAAAGGTTTTATTGTCATTACTCTCCGTTTTTCCCTCCATTCGTTAAATTCGGCGAACACATTTTCATAATGTTCCCTGGATTTCGCTGGCAATAAATGGAAAATTGCTTCTTGAGCTTCTTCAAAAACAGCCACAGGAACACAATTACTTAAAACATTTCTCGAGACAAAATTTACTACCGGACAGTGAGTATCAATCAAATATTATAATTTTTTAATTTTTTAAAATTCAAGTGTCTCGTGATTTAGTTCTATTCTTTTGTTCATCAAATTCAATAAAAAAAAATATTAGTTCGTTGATATTTATTTTTAGAGGTCGCTCAAAAACAGAGGTATACTACTTTGAAAGTTAAAATAATTATGAGTGACCGTTAGAAATTAAAATATCGATTTGAAATTTTCAGAATCGAGATTTTTTTCAACCTAGAAAATGATAAAATAACGAGAAAAAAAATTTAAAAAAATTAAATTTTTGACGATTTTGGAAATTTTTAAAAATCTTGAGCGACCTCTAAAAAAATTTTTTTCAGCTGATTATTTGAGGGGGCTCTTAAAACATGATAAACTAACATATTTTCACAAGAGACACAAAAAAAATATTCGTTTTTTTTTGGGCCACCCTAATGTTTATGTTTTATTATGTCACGTGGCTTGTAATCATTTATGAAGGCCTTTTGGAATTCACACCAAATTTAATTTTTCCTTGGCTCGTTCTATTTCAAAAATAAAAATCATTAGGTCTAAACAATTTTCATATTTGAAGTTTCAGCCCCTGAATACCATTTCAAAACATCTTATACATAAATAATATGGATTATTGGATTTTAACCTCGATTTCAACTTTATTTCCGTAACCACTTACCTGTAAGATGATGCCGCGAAATATGCTAGTACGTCTACGGAATAATTTTCTAAATAAAACATAAAATATGTAATGGGTGTCTACCTCTGACATTTCTGCGTGGGATAGCCAAAAATTCTTTGTCTTTTCCCTCCCCCTAAGGAATTGGTAATCCTATTTAGAGAAGGTTATGCGAATTGTAAACACTTTGTCGAGAAATTTCATCGGATAAGATGTAGTGCCGTCACATGTGTCGTAGCAGTATAAATTTGATATTATGCTTTTACGGGTTGCGGGTGATAAATTTGAAAATATGTGACAGCCTATAAAACGTGTTTTACATTCTCGTAAACATAATGCACAAATTATGAAATTTAGAAAAGATTACTTTGTGTAACGGTTCAGTTTTGCTGGAAAGAGAAGTTGCAGATAGTTCGGTTGAGGTTTTAAAACGGATAGATTGTATTTAATTAAATTGATTTTGGCACAAAGATTACTCCTACTTTTTGGTAATCTTTATTCGAATTTAATTCAAATCAGCCCTTTTCAAATAGGCGCTTTTCATGAGATTTTCCGAAACAAATTTTTACGCGATTTCACCTCGCCGTCCTTTACAGAAAATTCCTGTTTACGTCGAGTGAATACCGGAAGTCGCGCAACACGGTTATTTATTTTGTTCTTCGCGCTATTCATGAACACCGGTTCTTTGTGATGATGTATTGATTCGTATTTTAATAAGGGAAAGGAATTTTCAACTCATATTTCACGGGTGTTCTACATACCCGCAGGTTTCGCTGACTGCTATGCGCGTTGCGATATGGGAAAGCGATGCTTGAAAGTTTGATGTGTGCGTAGAACCGGCGGTTGTGTCGGTTTGTAAAGTGCGAGGCAGCAGTGGTGTAGGTCACTGACGGAAAAAGGATAAATACCCTTAATAAACGAAAAATAAGCGTTAGATTTAATTTAATTATTTTTTACTGTGCATGCAAATGAAAAATTTTGTAAAAAAACATTGAAGAAAAGCGGATAACAATTGTATTACAAATTTATACACTTGTAGCATTGCCGATTATTAATTTTATAGAAAATAATTATTATAATGATAATTTGTGTGATTTAGATCACATAAAATGAGTCTGTAATGTTTTGATTTTATTTAATTTTACCAGAGTTTTGCGACAAAACGGACAGTTACATAAGTAGGTAACAATACATTAATAGTTTCATATATTTTGTTCCAATTTTTCTACATTTAGTTTTTGTTAGGTACCTCATTACCTAGAAAACATTTATAAATTTTATAGAAAAGGGGGTACCAAAAAAAAATATAGATATTACAGATTATTATACATGTAAAATCTATTATATACCTAATAGTTCCAGAAGGAGCACATACAGTCGCTGATATGCATGAAAACGGTCGATTATCTCCTAAAGTAAGATAGCTATCGAAAAATCATAAGACGTTTTAGGGTTTTTTAAAATCTATTGCAATAAAGAAAAATTAGGTATACAGGATCAGTTAAAGAATCATCACGAAACAAAGTTGCTTTTTCTTTAATGGAACACCCTGTATATTATTTCATATTTCAATAGACTCTTTTAATGTGACGTCACATATTTAGGCAACCCGCTACAAATTGTCATAGTTGAAATTGTACAGACCGAATCTGACCCTTGTTTACTGACTATTTACATAGATATTATAAAAATGAACAACTTAAAATTAATTT